CTCACAGTCGGAAATTAAATTCTGTAAAAAACCGGTTACCTGCAAAGACGTGGGTTGATCGAAACCGAAAATTAAAATGCAGATGTATTCCTTCATTCACAACAATCACTCGCAATCCACAGTTTGCATACATTTACATAATCTTATCTTCCATTCTTCAAACGCCACCTTCTCGCAATCGGGGATTAAATTTTGCAAAAGGGTAGTTACATACAAAAAATGCATAAATTAATTAGGAACTGATAAAATTGTCCGTCTAATTTGAAAATCAAAAATTAAAGCTTATATTCTTTATTCGTGACAATCTCACAAGCTATTACTCACGCATATGTGCAAACATCATTATTTCCTTCCTTCCAACCCCATTGACATCCTCGCAGTCCACCTAACTCACCCTTTACACCTATGCACTCGATCTCACTGCAAAAGACGGGGAAAAAATCCGAAATTTCCAATTCTAAAGATAAAACGAGTCGACAACCATCGAAATGATAGCACTTGAGATTTTTCATCTAGAATATTTTCACGATCAAGGTCAGCTCATTAGCCTGAATGAACGTGGCGTACAAACGCGGCGTCCCTCTGCTTATGAGCTTCCGCATATTTATTTTTCGTCCTCTCCCTGTTGGAGAGGGATGAGGGTGCATGGTGAAATCGCGAAGAGGGATGCCGTTTAATTCGTGAGCATGCGCCCACCATCATTGGGGAGTCGTTGCAGAGGGGTTGCCGCCTCTCTTTGGGGGTGATGTTATTGATCAGAGTTTCTTCTGTGCCACGAAATGGCTCAAGTGTATCACGCCATGGGGAATCGAGTTTCGATTTTTTTTCCCCCTTGCTTCCTGCGTGGTAGGCTGTCGATGTTGGGTTCGATACGAAGTTCCAAATTTTTTGCTATACTTCGACAGCGTTATTGGGTCATTGTGACTTCCTTTCTTTTCCTTCTTCTTTCTTTTTATTTTCTTTTTCCTCTTTTTTCTTTCTTTTTCCTTTTTTTGGAATATTTTACTCGTCAGTGATCACGAATAGCATCCAGACTCCAATTTTAGGGCTTTTAAATTTTAGACTTTTTCTCTCTGGTCTCAATATGTTTTTTTGTATATTAATCGAGGCATTTTTTGATTTTGGATAAAATATATTCAGGTATTTTTATGTAGAAATAATTAGTCTGGGAAATGGTATGACACCAGGGCTTATATCATCATGTTTCTTTTGTATATTTTCTAAACAATAAATTTAGTAGATTGAAGTTAAAAATGTACTTTGAATTAACAATTTCTTCTAAAAAAAACATATGAATTAATATATAAAAAGTTTTCGGATCTAATTGAAAAAAGAGAAATGTAATTGACATTGAAATTTCCTGTTTTGACCTTGAAAATTGTTTTACTTACAATATAGCATAATTTAAAAATGAGAAACTGCACGTGACAATTTTTTCACGATTCTGGAGTACTTCGAAGTTACAGTATTAATTCAGTGGAACGTTCTCTGTACCCAACAGGTTTCCATTTCCCTTTGATATTCATTTTGAACGAGATTAATGCGATTTTTGATATTTTCTGTTATGAAAGCTTTCGTCGTTAAGTTCCTAAAGGTTTCCAAAGATTACTCTAACCTTCTATCAACGAACACAATTTTCTAATAGGTTTCTACCATTCATTCTTCGGTATTCGTGGCAAATTTTTTTCACTGTCGCCATTTGCATTATTCAAACATCGCGAGGAAATGCGCAATCGGGATAAACCAACGCGAAAATTGCAAAACCACTTGATAACATTGAACCATGATTTATCTAGGAAGGAAACACGCATTCTGTTTGATAACGGAACAAGTGCAGCGATAACTAAGAATATTAAAAAGCAATCTCGATGTCGACACTCTTTGCTTTGTGATCGATTGCAGGCGCCATTCCGTTCTCTGATTAAGTCATGTTCAAGAACACGTCTCTAACTATGCGAAAAAAGGAAATCCTGATTAGATACGATAGAAACATTCCATAGCCATGCAGTAAAAAAGAAGAAAAAATAAATCAGGAGGAAGAAAAGGTAATTTTACATAACAGATAAATTCTTATTTTATAGAAGATATAGAAAGAGAGAAGAAGGAATTTGTACGCAAAAGAAAGAAATAAAATGAGAAGGCAAAGGAGGGATAAGAAGTGTCCTTGTATAAGTATGCGAATAGAAGAGTATGTAGGTTGGGAAAGGATATTCCATTTAAAATTAATTGTAGTTCACGTAGAAGTATGAAAAGAAATATTATATATTTTATATTAACTCTAATAATAATTACTGTTAACCTCTGATGCACCGATATAATAAATTGGTAATTTAATTTATTAATAAATATCAATCGATAAACGAATAAATCAATAAGAAGGTAAACAAGCGGAAAATAAATGCCGATAAAAATACAATGGAGTAATTTGTTCGGATCTGCGAGCAGTGAAATTTAAAATGGCGGATCTAAGATAAATCTAAAAGTAAATCAAGCATGTGAGCGGTGAAAGAGGAAGAAATTAAATGGAGCTTATAGTGAAAGTTGTATAGTCGGTTTTATTATAGCAATGTCTTTATTCAGCGTTCAATTTGCACAGCGGTATCGAGGAATGTAGTCATCGCGACGTGAGTAATCCTTTAATTACTCCGAACGGTGCAAGCAGAGACGGAACGAGAATAGCTTCGCGTGGAAGCAGAACGGAAACTGCGGTTGTACACGAGAGCACGAGGGAGACGGTGAAATGTCGTATGACGTAACGCCAATTTCCTACGAGAAATTTTAAACGAAGCGACCTCTCCTTAACAGCACGACTCGCTCCGAAAAACGCGTAACTCGCAATTACTCAACGCGTTTTGCTCAAAGTGTAACATCCACAAAAACGAGACACTCGAGGGAACCGGGAGTAAAAAAGACGCTACATTGAAAAGCAGAAGGCGTCAGAAGAACGAGAGGGAACTCGGTTTTATTTTACAAACAGAGGAAACGATTCCTTATAAGAAAACGAGCCGACCGAAGGCATAGATCGAAAAGTTAAAGAAGGCATGACAATCTCACGCGACAGAGAATGAACGTCCCATGAACAGCGCCGGAGGGGAAGAGAAAACGTAATTTATCGAAAAGCGAGCGAAAGAGAAAGACAGCCACGAATCCATGGAGTGCGCGAGTGAGGGAGGGAGAATAGAGAGAAAACAGGATAAAAAGAGAGATAGAAAAAGACACAGCGCTGCAAGAGCGAGAAGTAGCGCACAAAGGAACGAGTGGAAGAGAGAGGGAAGACATTGAGTGAGTCAGTGATGGCGTACAGCAGCCAGGCCGAGCCCAGCTGTTCTTCGATCCCCTAACCTACGCCAGTTTATTTCAGCTACCAACACTACGTGGTCCTGAACGTGCTTCGTGCTTTCTGTGCCCGTCGAAACCTCGTTATCTGTCGATCTTTCGGTTTTATCGTGCTTCACTCATTAACGTTCCCCTACCGTCGTTTCTTCCGTTCGATCCACGTTCCGCAGGCGAAAGGACAGAAAAAGACAAGAGAAAAAGACAAAGTGCGAACAACCTGAAATAAGAACATTTTATCCGTGTGAAACAGTGAATCGATTGTGGACGGTGCTCCATGCTCTTCGGGAATCGCAATGAGGCGACAGTAACGACTCGATCATGCTTCAAAACGAATCTCCCCTAACGATTTATCAGTGCGAGATTTCCATGCTGCGGGGAAACGTGTGTGACACTGTCAGATCTCGTTATCTCGATTTTTTCGACGGATCGAGACCTTTGAAACGCGGTTCCTTCGCCTGCGGGCACTTTTCGATCGTGTTCGAGAAAGAAAATAACGAATCGATCGTGACGTTGCAGTGAATCGCGATTGTTCCCGGGGAATATCGCGTGATTCGCAGTCGAATCGAAGTCGAGGCTGAGTGGTGCGTATCCATGGTGCGGGGGAGCCCTAGTCGATCTTCGTAATTAAAAGGGGACCAGGGAATTTTTAACGAGCGTGTGTCGGTAAAGGAGAGATCGGAGATTCCGTTGTGAAATAGCCTGGAAAAAGTAGAAACGTTTTTCTGGCTCTCCTACAGATTGAAAGGGATGTGAAGGTCTGAATAGAATTTCGAGGGTATCTTTGAGATTGAGATCGGTGATCTGGAAAGTGTGGCAAGCCTCTTTCGAAATGTGAAATTCGAACAAAGAATGACAAGATTCATTGAAAAATTTGGAAATATTCTTGGGAAATATATGGAATTGTGCAATTAAGATAAATTCACTTGGAAAAAAGATTGGATAAGATTATCGCGATTTCGTACAGAATGAGGATACTTTTACGTCAGTGAAAGCTCGAAGAAAGTAAACGTGGAAGATTCAACGGACGAACCTCCTTGCATCTCTTTTATTTTTGGATAAATTTATCGGGAATTAAGAGTCGAACAAGGTAAAGTTGACTAAAAAAAATGAGATTAAGTAAGGCGTTTGTATCGAGTTGAAATTTTCTTCGGAAGAAGTCAGACAGAAGGAAGAAGAAAGCACATTTTCCTTCTTTATCTCTTACCGCAAAAGGCGCGTCCGGTCGATTTGCGAAACGAATGGCAAAACGTGGGCCGCGAACGAGTGGCAGCGTGCAACTATAAATGGAACCTGTAATGCCAAAGCATCGACTGTGTCACGAAGAAAATGTACCGTGAAGAAAACGAAATTTTCGGTGAATCGTATGAACACAGATATTCTTCCAAAAGCAACTTCAGCTAGATACTACAGTAATATAAAAATTAGTATACGAAATTAAGTATACGAAAAAATTGTTCCTTCGATAAGATAAGTCGTTCCAAAGTCTACAAATTAAAACGTTAAGATCATTATACCTTCAGAGCGATTTATGTGATAAACGTTAACTATATTCAGAGATTTAATATACGTACGTATAACTATCTAACAAATTATAAAAAAAAAGAAAAAAAATTTTTTAAAAGAAAAAAACATTTTAAAAAAATAGTTCCTCATAGTCTGTCCACGAAAAAGACTACTTCTCGGGTAACTACATTCCTGACAGCAGTTCCAAGATTTCGTGACGCATTGCGATCACAGTCGATAACCGGTCCGTTTCACAAATCGTATCGTTCGATCGTTCCCAATCTGGCCACGGGGCAGCATCAGTGGCGCAAGGGAAAAAATAGTTCCTCGCTCGACGACACATTCCACAAATTCTCGAAAGGTCAGCGTACCAATTAAGCCGCATAGAAACTGTCTCGACGCATTTCGAGCAACGAGAAGCAGACGGGCAAGCAACAAGTACAAACGAATGGTTGTAGGCTGAAGTACCGACCGGTACGCAAAAATAATTAACCAAGTCGCGGAAAGAAGCCGCGAACCGGCATCGAGGAGGCTCTTCGCGCAGCCGGGATGGGGTGCTGAAATGCCAGAGGGACATTTTGAAAATCTTTGCCTCGACGCATGCGTCCCGACGCACTCGACGCCCGATGGAGCGCGATGAAGCTGCCCCTCGGTGGATGAAGAAGGGTCGAAACCCGGAGAAGAGAGGTTTTCTGGTGGTGTGCGTCGACATCGGACCAGCCAGGACACCGGGCGTCGCGCCGCGTCGTTCCACGATCCTCGCGGTATAACCTCTCTATTCTAACCTCTCAACGCAACCGTTCGATTTAATCTCTCGATTTTGCCTCTCGATATCAACGACTCTCCGTCGAATTCACTGACCAACTGATTTACCGTGCTCCAAGTACACGAGAACAAAAAATTATGCCGGGTGAAAACAGAAACAAAAGTTCGAAGCACATCACGACCGGAGTGAGAGAGACGTCTCCGACGAAGACGAGCGATCTCGAAGTAAGAACTCGTGGCAGCTCGATGATCCCTCTCCCCCGTGCGATGCCACAGAACCCCAAGACCGTGAAGACGGAGAAGAATCGTCTGAGACTGATCATGGAGAACAACAGAGGACTCGCGGACGCGTTGGTGAAGGAACGAAGGGTCAACGTGAACAAGGAAGAGGACGGTTATCGAGTGTCCTCTGCCAGGGAGCCGGCTACAACGCGATACTACGACCTGTCCTGCAACGTGTATCGAGGTCCTGTTCGAAAGGTGATTCTCCGCGTTCGAAATTCTTTCTTGTTTTCCTCTCGTCAGCGAACATCGATGAAAATAGAATCTAATGGCTCGGAGGGGAGGGGACAACGTGTCAACCCTTAACTACGTGATTATGAGAGCGGGTGGGTGATCGTTCGTTCGGTTTTATTGGAGTCGAGGAACATTGTGACACGCGTATCGTCGAGTATTGGAAAATCTGTGGAATAGAATGGGTGGATTTATTTCGAGTTATTCTCGTGCGATTTATTGGCTTTGTTTTTCGTAATGGATTTTCGTGCGGATTTTCTATTTTTTCTTTTTAGTTTCTTTCTTTTTTTTTTATTGAAGTGCTTCGTGTGCTCGTTGACTTCGGATTTGTATCGAAATATAGTTTCATGGGTATTGTATCATTTTATTTTTTTGCGTAACTGTTTTATGCCGAGATCAATACTTTATTAATAGTCTGACGTCGTGTTGCTGATGTCCGAGTTACTCGTTTGCCGTTAAAAATTTGAATTTCAATCGGGGTTAGAAAGTCGTCGTGCAGATGACTTGTCCTGGAACAGATAAGTTAATAATGACCCGAAATTTTTAGCTTTGGTCCATTTTTTCGTGTACCAATATTGACCAATTAAGGCGTTTAACTATTTTATATTAATTTCGCGAGAGAAATTCGTAGAGATTCCACTCTCCATTTTTCGATAGTCTATGGTTCATTTTCAAATGAAAATTCTAGCTAAAATACTGAGCAATATATTCGATAAAAAATATTATCTAGATTATCAGAATTCCTGGAAAATAACATTCCTCGATATTTTCGAAGCACTCTCACGAAGCACTCGATAATTTTCATTTTCATACCACTTTTATCTCTTGACACTAACAAATTGCTCTCGAGCCGGCACAAAGGAACGTTCAACGACATAATTCCGTCAAAAATGCGGGTCGCCTCTTTCTTGCCATGGATCCTTCAATTCCCGTTCGTCGTCTCTAATTCGATTCATTAAACGCATCGCATAGCCAACGTTCCACTTGAAAATTTTCTGAACCATAGCTATTCATTTCCGTTCCCCGTGAATCACGGCACTTTTAGGGTCCGAGTTGCACTCGAAGACCGTTTCGCGTCCCGTCAGAGATCTTCAATCATTCTGCTTAATACTTTCGTCTAATAATGAGTCACAATTATCGTCACGCCTTTCGAAACGATAACCGGAAGATTGCTCTCGTCTTTCTCGTAACGCTAATTACACTGCTGTGTTTTCAGGTTCAGCTTTGACCCCGAATATTTCTTTACATCCTAACCTGGGTAAAATTCATTTCGAATAATAATAATGTTAAGACAATCAGTCAAAAGTATCATATCTTTTAACTATTAATTCTCAATTTTTAGCTCGATGCTCTTATAAGAGACTTAAAAAATTTGGAAATTGGTGGATCAAAAAATTTTGGTCCAATATCAAAAACTTCTGTTAGAAAGATTGAAAAAGGGATTTACTATTCAGAAGCGCCTAATTTGGCTATAGGATATTCCCTTTTATCTTCACTCGTGTCAATCAAAGCTATAGTTCGTTTCAATTGCTTGAAACGCTCTCTGTATGCAGATGTCCATGCAAATTCGATGTAAATGAATATTTATTCTTAGACTCTTTAATGATATGAAATCTACAAACAAAACGAACGAAGATTGATGATTTTGTTTATGACATATGTTGCATTTCAGTAATTAAAACGCCGGTTAAATAGTTGAATTAGATTGCGCAACGAATGGGTCATAAAGACGTCTTTTAAGTCGATAATTCCTGATAACTCGTCCAACAAATTGACAGGCATGTTTCTCCGTGTGTATGCTTTCCGTGAAAGAGCACAATGGAAATTACATGATAATTTCTCTGTTATTTTCCTACGTTATCTCAGGCCGCCTTACCATACAAAGAGTTTTAATTATATTACAACTTAAGGCAAACTTACAATTAAGTAAATGATGGTAGAAAGTAGCACTTAAAATAATGTTTACTTTCTTCGACATTATCGCATAATTATTGTTCATCTGTATTATTTCTTTAATTGGCTAATAACAGGTATTAAGCAATGTTGCACAATTGTATATTAATTCTGTACTCTCATGTTTTACACAACGTGTTTGGTGAGCTGTATATACGGTGTTCCAGAATCTTTTAGCTAAACTTGATTAGTATAACCTATGAGCGAAGATAAAAATTGGGTACATACAATTTTATAAAATTATAAAGTTCATCGTGTTCCATAACCTCTCTTTTCCAATCGAGTAACTTCTTTCAAGAAAGAAATGCAAATTGTCGAATACGATTTTTTCTTCTAAAGCTTAATTTTCGAGAAAATCGATTGTGAAAATCCATTGTGCTCACGATGCGTTCAAATATCTACACGATGTTTCACGCGCCATTTGAGTAAAATAATCAGTCGATAAAATAGGACACTGTAAATTGAGCGGGAATTTATGACTCACCCTCGTCGTTTAAATTTTTATCAGAAAAATGTAACATAAAATACGAAAGGAACGATAACAGACTCGTTCTTAGCGGAATAGGAGATAAGAATAGGTCGACTGTCAGTGTAATTGCAGTAGGCCCTCGTGTATAGTACGACACTAGCAAAACGTAGTTCCGTATAACATGGTTAGGAAACTGCTACATCTAGCCTACAGCAAAGTGATAAAATTTCTGCAACTAGTTCTCGTATAAAACGATAGATCAGTGCAACAAGAAATAGAAATCCATAACTATAATTGAAATCTTTTTATCGGTAAGTCTTGATAAATCTATCTTAACCCATTGCACTACAGTGGCGAGTCTAACTCGTTACGAATTCTTCATGGCAAATCTCGTGATTATAAGCTATACTAATCACTCGATAAAATTTTATTAAATTTTTATTTAATTTTACCACGGATGAAAATGGCGTATAGTAGTTAACTAAAATTAAATGCGACCCCAGTGTATAATTTTTCGTAATTAAATTGTGGTACAAGGGGTTAAGCACTTGGGCGCTAGTGTAGCTTATTATAGAAGAAACCACTTCCAAAATGTCGGTCATTCCTTTCGATACAAGAATTGCATTTATTTATTTATTTATTTATTTTTAATAATTCGACGCTAAATCTGTCATGGTCTAAACGATCGTTTTTAATCTTTTGGTTAAGAATTCTGCGCTCAACGATTTCTATCTCTTCCACTCTGTTTGTTGTAAAATTCACACATACATAATCTATCTCGTCATCACGACAAATTTGTCCGACTGTAATAATTTAGTGTTAATATAATAGTATATAATTCAATGCATTTAGATATTATGAAAAGATTGCTTTCTCTTCTTTTCTAAAGATTAATCGTGAATTCTAAGACGCATTGTACGTACAAGTTCCACATTGAAATACAAATTTCTCATTAAGAACGAGGCTTCGGAGCTGCCTGTTAAAGTAGTTTAACTCGGTACCACGGTGTGTCGCGTAGGTTCTTGATTACTTCTCACGATGATACTATTTCGTCACAATACTCGGCACGTTCGCTCGCTTTGTTGCTTTATTTCTTACAATTGGACCGAAATAGGGCAAAGAACACTCGAGAGATTTAATTCTGTCACGCAAGCGTCGCGTTTAAAATAGTAGAGGATTCTTCGAGCCATCGTTCGAAAGCAAAAGTCTTGTCTCTGATTTCAGTTCGCATTGCGAACCCCCCTTTTCATTCGTTGGTGTTCCTATAGAAATTTCTGAATTGGTCGAGGATTTTCTTACAACACTGACTCTAAGCTACATTTCTTGTAATTCACAGATTTAAATCAACAGGAAAAGATATCGTATTGCTTAATAGGAAAATTTTGTCAATTTAATTATATTCTAGTAACTTTGTTTTATAATCTAGAAATATTCTAGTAACTTGCAAATTACTAGGAAAGATAAAGATATCTCGAGGTACTTCGATTTTATCAGATTGTAAATAACGTGATTTGGTAATCTTCGAAATCAAAGTCGGAAATTTAAAAAAGGGAAAGATTGACTTAGCAAGAAGTCGTTAAGAGATTAAATTCTTCCTTCCTTTGATAACTTGGATAAGAGATTTTTCTGTACCCGAAGAAGGTTCGACGAAGAACGTGAAGTGTTCTGTTCGCATACGTGCTGCACGTGACTAAAATACACTTCCTTGCTTGGTCGTGTCGAAAATAAAGATTCTACTCACGATGAATCGATTTCGATGTTCTGGAATCGTTGGAAACTTTATCGTACAAGTTTCTGGTTAAAAATTATTTAAAAAATTAGCAATATGAAAATCTTCCTTCGTTAATTTTTTTTTTTATTAATTTAAATCCAGCAGCATGAAAAAGAAAGAGGAAAATAATCATCATCAATTCAATTCTTTGCACTCGAAGATTTTTTCGCTGTAAAGAAACAGCAATTCGAACCTTACCTCGGATTTTTATAAGCTCGCTGATAGCTTTTATGCTAAAATAAAAGAAGAAAATTATACGTGTGCGTGAGAAATGAACAGAATTATTTTATTTCAGTATTTCACGTTATAGTTGTACTTAATATAAGGATCGCCTTTTATTCCTTATTGAAGTTACAGCGTTAAAACAAATGGCGGCTGAGAGTCGTCTCTCGAGTGCAAAGGGTTGATACCTACAATTTTTCTAGCACGAAAACTCGAGTAAGGTCTAAAAATATTTCACAATCATCAAAATTAGCATACTCTTAGCTTTCCAAGTAATTACCAAGTATACAAATTCTGGAACAAATAAAAGATCGCGCGTAAATCGTGTTTGCGCATTATTGTATCCGTTAGCAGCAAATCGAGCGGAACGCCGTAGTCATAAGAGTGCCACTGAGAAGCTCGAACCGAACTATAAAACTATAAAAAGCCCGCAGGATATTGAGATTATAACATCCGACGGAACAATCATAAAAACACGTAACGCGATATCTCTATATCGAATGCTTGCCTAGACAGTCAGCAAGGTTACAAGAACCGCAGCAGCCTCTTCGC